GGGGAGAGCCTGTGGCCTGGCGCCGCCGCGGCCTCGGTGTGGAGGGGCGAGGTTGTGCTGCTGCTGCTTTCTGGGGGCTCCGATCTTGGCTTCAGGTTGACGTTGGGAGTCGGTGATGGTCGTCTTGGCCTGGGACTCGGTGGGTTTCCGTTGGAGGAAGTTGTAGGACATTTGAAGGCGCAGAGCACGTGTTTCTAATGGGCTCCTGGTGGCCGCAGCGGTGAGGCTGCCGCTTTGGGTGCGGAGTTGGGGGCGGGCTTTGGGTGCGGGGGTGAAGGGTGGAGAAATTGGGTGGTAGGAAGGTAGCTTGTGTGAGCGCTTTGTTCTTCGCTGGCTGTTGTTACAGATCTATAAGCGGCAGGCGGGAAAAGCGCGCACTTTGGGGGTTTACCTTTGAGAGAGAAAAGCCCAGCTTTGCTTTCTCCACACACCTCATTCTCTGTATTGCCACAGCTGCATGTGGCATGCTGGCTTGTCCTCTTGCTGATTGGGCTCCATTTGTAATATGGTTTTTCCTAGGGAGTGTTAGCAGGTGAGTCAGGGGTGGTGCTAAGGAAAAACATAGTGAATCTGTCCTCCTCTGCCCCGCGCTCCAAATCTGGCTTGTCAGGCGATAGTGACTGTAAGGCTTCTTTAAAGGGAGGCGCAGGCTGGCTGGTGTAGAAATTGGTAGAGAAAGTAAAGATTGGGGCTCTTATATTTCCTCTACCCTTTTTGAAGATCCTAGTTTAATTTTGCTTATTGCGTTTGAACAGATCTCTGGAAACATGGCTACAGAACATGTTAATGGAAATGGTACTGAAGAGCCCATGGATACTACTTCTGCAGTTATCCATTCAGAAAATTTTCAGACATTGCTTGATGCTGGTTTACCACAGAAAGTTGCTGAAAAACTAGATGAAATTTACGTTGCAGGTAAGAACTAACACTTGCAAAATTATATTATGAAATTTTTCTATTGGATTTCTGGCTTTGAGCTAAAATAGCAACTTTTTGTGGTTTCCAATAAGTGTGGGAACTAGAGTTTTGCCTTGTTGTGATAGTTGTGAACTAGAGGTTAAGGTGTAGAGGGAGGGGAGAAGGAAGGGTTAGGAGGTAAAGGCTGGCTGGCCAGATGGATAAGTATATGATGGTAGCAACAGCTGCTAAATGTTGGGAGCAGGCCATGTGACTTTTTGGGGTATTTTTATAGTAGGGTTCTTGTTAAATAATTGGTAACTATAGACTTGTCTGTCTTGGTGTGGGTGTTGCTTTTTTCCTAGTGGTATTTGAAATCGTGTAGAGGTTCAGTTGTCATGCTTGGTACTTTGTTGGTTGATTTTAGGATTTACATATTTACTGTAGAAATGCTTAGCGTTTAGAAACTATGTGACTTTGTAAAAGAAGTTGATTCATTGTAAGTGTGGTTGAGAGGTTTTATTTAGTTCAGAATGATTAAAGCACGTGTGTTTCTTACATAGGTAAGGGAAATGGAAGAATTCTTACTTGGCAAGCATGTACCTGTATTGGCAAATATGGTTTCTTAAAAAAAGTTTCTGAAGATATTAAAAGTTGACAACTAATTCAGTTTTCTCTTCTCCAGGGCTGGTTGCACATAGTGACTTAGATGAAAGAGCTATCGAGGCTTTAAAAGAATTCAATGAAGACGGCGCATTGGCAGTTCTTCAGCAGTTTAAAGACAGTGATCTCTCTCATGTTCAGGTAATGTTGATGTCAGTGTAACTAGAAAAAACATGAGTAGTTTTGATATAGTTTGTTTTATTGAATTAGATACAGATAAGACCGTTGTTAAATGTGATTGGAAAATTTTTTTATAGAACAAAAGTGCCTTTTTATGTGGAGTCATGAAGACTTATAGGCAGAGAGAAAAACAAGGGACCAAAGTAGCGGATTCTAGCAAAGGACCAGATGAGGCAAAAATTAAGGTATGTCTTTAAAAACTTTTCTTTTTAACCCCCCCCACCCCCTGTCGTTTTTAAGTTCTTTCAAGGACTTTTTTTTTTTTTTTTTAAGCTTTGGTATAAATATTCTTTGGATGTGAAATGTGGGTGTGCATCTTTAAGATGTTGAGACTTAATAACCTGAGATAATTTATTAATCTTTTCTAATTACTGCCTTTTGAAAAGTTTCCTGCCTTTAGTTATTTCTGTTTTTAGAACAACTCACTTTTAAGTTTTTCTTGTTATTAATTTATGCATTAAATCAGTGTTTCTTGGTATTCTAAAGCAAAGACCTAAATACCATCTACCATATTTCTAAACATTTTTTGAAAAGCTGGAAGTCCAGATTAGTGACAGTAGAACAAAAATGGGAGGGAATCCGTTCATCCCATACTTGGTGAGGAGTGTACATTTAACAGTTGACTTATCTTAGAATTCACAAACTCCCAAGTTAAATGGATTTAGAATTTTTAACACAACCTTCTTCTTTTCTATTACTGTTGATTTTAAGGCTGATTTGTTCATTTCTAAAGGCAGCTTTTATCAGTAAAATTGAGGAGTGTGGAAATGCAAGTGAAGAAACTGAGGTTGGGAGTGGAAGTTATTTTTTTTTAAGGTCATGTAGAGCAATAAATGGCCTCAAATGCAACTAGGTTGTTTTGGTTTTTAGTTGTGTTGAGGTTTCAGTTTATAGAAAATGTGATCATGCTAGTTTTAATCTGGTGCTCTTATTACAGTGTGCTGATGCTCTTTGAACCAAGAGTTATGGTTTAAGAAAGTTAATTATGAGTGTTAAGTGATGTTTTAATGGTATGGGAGGAGGGAAGCTTGGAATAAGGAGTTAACTGTTAATGTCATTCATATATTTGAGGCTTTTATAGGTCAGGCTGTGAGTGAATTGTGTTTAAACCATAAATCCAGTTTTTTCCATAGAAATGGAGTGTAGATGTCTTTATTATATCAGTTGTGATTAAATTTACATTTTGGGAGGTAAGGTTATTAAATTTTTATTAAAAATGTAAAGTTTATTTTGACTTTTCTGTCTGGGAGGGAGTGGCTTGAAGCTTTAGTGTCTCTTAAATTGCAACAAGAGGACATAGTGACACTTTTATAGGATGTTTGAAGAATAAGTTTTTTTCTATTTTTTAGGGATTGATATAAAAAGTAAGTCATATAAAGATGAAGGTGAAAAGTGCAGGGATTACATATGGGAAAAAGGGAAGATGAGACATTTAGTGGTTTAGTTTATGTTCTAGTAATAGATTTCAGTTTATTTTTGTTGCCCAATGTTGCATCCGTAAATAAACATTGGGGTATGATAGAAAAAGGCTGCTTCAAAATAACGTAGCACTTTGTGGGCCTTTTTGTTAGAGTTTAGTAATAGAGGAGTTTTTTTATCATAGTATTTTTTCACAGATATTTAATGTTCTTTGGGTAGAAAGTGTTTGAAATCTGTCTAGTCATTTTCGTTTCTAGAGACTGAGGTGACCCCAGGTCATTTGACAGCATTTTGATAAAATTTGTCATTGTGCTTGGTGTTAGCTTGTTTTTGTTTTTGTTCTTTTCAGAATTTATTAGCCAATTACTAGATTTTATTATTTAGAAAGCAGGTTTTGTACTTTGGTTGAGATGGCAGAGGAGAATAATTCTTGGGTTTTTTTGTTTGTTTGTTTAGGCTAATTATAGACAACTTTCTAGTACTTTTGCCTTATACCAAGGGATAGGAGAAACTACCACTGATTAGTAAATAGGAACTGTTTAAATTTTAACAGTTCACTTTTAGGGGAGATAAGACCTAGAAGTTATTTCACATTGTTGCAATTACATAAAGTTTTCAAAGTCATTTTGGGTCTCATTTGTTCTGAATGAACCATGCCATCTGGGGAAGCATGGTGCTTGAATGTCAGATGAATTAAGTTGTTATATTTCGTGTAACTCCTAGGTTAAGGGGCATTCTCAGGGAATGTAATTTCTACAAAGGTTGGTGCCCAGAATTGCTGGCAGTGTGTATTAGAAGTGTGGGATACAGGGAGTTTATTAAGGAGCTTTACCCAGTTCCTCCTTTGGGAGAGAATTAAACTCAAGCAAATTAGGTACAGTTAGGAGAAATTAGCAGAACAGGTACAGACCCTGGCTTGAAAGATGTTGATGAATCAATATTAGTTGTTTGTTTGCTAAACACTAGTTAATTGGAAACCAGAAATAATTTGAGTAGGGCCCTGAAATTTTCATTAAAAATTAGAGCTACTACAAGGGTACATTAAAGGAGAAATTCTAAAACATACCAGAAAACTGTAGGGATTGTTGCCAAGGTAAATGGAATGCTTTGAACAAGATTGATTTTTAACTGTGAAATGCATGGGTGTGGTCTTGTGAATTAAATGTATTAATGACATTTGAACTTTTCAAGGCACTATTGGAAAGAACAGGCTACACACTTGATGTGACCACTGGACAGAGGAAGTATGGGGGACCGCCTCCAGATTCCGTTTATTCAGGTCAGCAGCCTTCTGTTGGCACTGAGGTAAAGAAACTAAAAACTTGTACCTTTTGTAGTAAATGCGCAGGTATCTGGTTTCCTAAAGAAACTCTCCATGGTTTTTTACTTCATGTTTAATTTACAGATATTTGTGGGGAAGATCCCAAGAGATCTGTTTGAGGATGAACTTGTTCCATTATTTGAGAAAGCTGGACCGATATGGGATCTTCGTCTAATGATGGATCCACTCACTGGTCTCAATAGAGGTTATGCGTTTGTCACTTTTTGTACAAAAGAAGCCGCTCAGGAGGCTGTTAAACTGGTAAGTTTTTTTCTTCCAGTCTTCACATTCACTGTCTTTAATTAAAGTCAAGTTTTTTCTTATTTTGCCTAAGAGTTAACCAAATGTTTTTTGAAGTGCTGATTAGGCACTTTTACATTCTTTGTTGTAGTTATTGTAGCAGTATTCTTTATATGTGTAGTTGACTGGACTGAGGATCTATATATAAGGCACAGTGTCAGAATTCTGAGTTACTTGTTCTTTGAAACATGTAGCTTAGTGATTTTTTTACTCTTTAATAGGAATGTTAAAAGATTTAAGGAAGTAACTAATAGGTAGGGCTTTCTTATTTTCTGGCTGTACCTGACTGAGGATCTATATATAAGGCACTGTATCAGAATTCTGAGTTATTCTTTGAAACATCTGGTTTGGTGATTTTTTTTTTTAATAGGAATGTTAAAAGATTTAAGAAAGTGACTGTAATAGGTAGGCCTTCCTTACTTTGTGGCTGTACCTGGGCCATTCCTCTTTCTATAAAATATAAAGACATTGTGATGACAAACTTCTAGTTCATGAAATAAAAGATTTCATGCTGAGTGGCAATATTTGATTTAAAGTACCAGATGTAAGGTGTGAAGACCTAGTTACGTTGCCAACTTTAAAAAAAGAGCTTTAATCAAATTATGGCTTAGCTCTTCTTTAAACTAGTTTTATTAAATTTTGTGGCTCACATGGATTCTACATTTTATAATTGAAGAGGTCAAGGGTTAATTTCAACCCAAGAAATGTATCAAAAAGTAAACTGGGGAGGAACTTTTGTAAAATTGTCCACTATGGCAGATATTTGTTAAATTTGCCTTATTGGCTTACATATTTTGTAGGGGATACTAAACAATCTTAAAATCCTTGGATTTTTTTTTCCTGAATTTTTCCTTTCCTCACCATCAGATGGTCTACATTTTAAGGCATACCTTAAGGGGAAAAGCCAACTATACTTTGTTTTGCTTTCCATGGTGATTGAATTTCTCATTTGGTGTATGTAATTGACTATGATAAAAACTTAACATTAGAATAGTGCTGCTTGAACGATTATAGGTGGTGTCTCTAAAAAAGAATTTGGGAGTTTAGGTACTTTTAAATCATGGGTGATTTTTCCCTCATTTAAAGAATGCTTCCTATTTCAGAGCAGCTATAGTTCTATACGGAACCATTCACTTGTAACCTTTGGGCTGTCAAAATTTTAGTTTTGAGCAGTTCATGTAAAATTAAGGACTTTTTAGAGTTCTGGAAAGATAACTTTAGAAATCATCTGGTTTAATCTATAAACAAATAGAACATTTTTGCCAGGTAGCAATAGAGTAGCAGTAAATTTTAATACGGAAATGTGAATGAGAAGGCAGCAAACTATCTTACTGCAGCAAGCTAGTACAGAATTTACCATTAATTTCAGACCCATTTTATATACTAGGTATTACATAAAGCTTTTATTGTTTAACAAGGGTGGTTACTTAGTGTATAAGTGGTGATTTGTGTATTAACATTTTTAAAAGGAATCATTAAACCAACATTTGTAGGCCACTTAATTCTTGCTACCAAAATGCACTATTTATGGCAGGTCCTCACTGCAGTATTTGTAGACAATGTCCAAAATCCATAAAAAATACTTCATTAGAGGAAGATGATCTATAATCCTATTGTAACATGACGATTTTGAGTGCCAGTAAATAGTCATTATGAAATAATGTTTCAGTTTGGGCAGTTGCCTTGGCTTAACAAATAATACAGTCCAAAATTGCATTGCTGTGGGCTTAGGATGTAGTCTCATTAATATAGTTAGTTTTCAGTTATAATTCAGAAAGTAACATAGGTAGCTAGCCAGCCATTTTAATTTATCCAGGAACTAATAATAATTCTTGTTCTTTTTTACATTTTTTCTGGTTTTGTGATTGGAGTCCTTATCTGGGAACATGTTTATTTTTTCCTATCTGATAGATTAGGAAGTTTTGCATTTTGTAATGGTTTTACCACTATATCCACTAGGGTGAAATGGATATATCATCGTTGCTTTTTTAAAAATTTTTTATTTTATTTTTAAATTTTTAAATATTTTTGAGAATGAGAGAGACACAGTGTAAGCTGGGGAGGGGCAGAGAGGGAGGGAGACAGAATCTGAAGCAGGCTCCAGGCTCTGAGCTGTCAGCACAGACCCTGATGTGGGGCTCGAACCGCGAGATCGTAACCTGAACCGAAGTTGGACACTTAACCGACTGAGCCACCCAGGTGCCCTACATCGTTGCTTTTTCTTAAAGGGTGTTTTACTGTGGTAGGATTATGTTGATAACAGAATTGGGAGGCTTGCCGTAATGTAACAGTAAAAAGGGAGGACTAGACTTTTGAGGAAATGAAATATTCTAGAGAAATAAATCAAGTTAACGAGGACGTCCTTTGCTATTTAGTATTGTGGAAATGAGTACTCTTCTAAATGTGTTCTTTAAGGGAGCATATTTTGAAAACTGTCCCTTCTTGTGTCATGTCATGAGAGTCTACTTGAATTACACCAATATCCAAGGTGAATTTTTATAGAAGATTAATAGAATGGTCATTCTAGTTGTAGATAATAAGTTTTAAAAAAATGTCTATTTGGGATTATTTATAGATCAGACAAGATGGAAGCAGGAAGACCATTTCTTTTTGCTTTCCTGTCCTTTGAGTGTCCTGAGTACCTTTAGATCGAGATAGTCTGGCTGGCTCAGTTGGTAGAGTATGTGACTCTTCGTCTCTGGGTCATGAGTTCAGACCCCATGTTGGGTGTAGAATTTACTTTAAAAAAAAAGATTATGTATTTGGCCTTATTTTTGGTATGATCCAGGAATAATCCCTCCCCTCCCTGTCCCCCAGATTAAAACCTATTGTGGATTCTGGGGTGCCTGGCTGGCTCAGTTCCTAGAGCATGTGACTCTTGATCACAGGGCCGTGAGTTTGAGCCCCACTTTGGGGGTAGAGTTTACTTTAAAAAATTTTTGTGGATTTTAAATTTGCATCTGAATTACTTATAAAAATAGGTTAATTGATAATAACAGCTGAAAAAGAGGCATGAAGTTAAGCACCTGTAGACTTTTTAAATGACTGGTTTTCAGCCAACGTTTGCTTCGTATTTTGGGCAATAAATTTATTGCCAAATGATGAAAATCTTGCCAGGGAAGCAGGAGCTAAGTTTGTGAAAGGTGAATAATAGTTACCTGTTGAGTGCTTGTTAAGACACAGGAGCTGTGCTAGGGTGTTACATTATTACCTTTAAATACTACCTATTTTTTAAAGCAACTGGAATTATCTTCATTCTGTAGAAGAGTAAATAGCCTGGGTGACTTATAGGAGGCCATATAGCTTTAGTTCGATACCAGGTTTGTTTAGTTTGAGTTCTTATCGTTGACCAGACCTAACAGTTTAAAGCCAGCAATATAAATTATGTCATCAGGTAGCCTAATTCTTTAATTATGTAGTCACTTAGGTAGTGTTAAAAAGGAGCACAGGAAATAAGTTCTGTTTCTGCTGCCAGAATATTTTTGGCATCTATCTACATTGCTACCACATTAGTCTAAAGTACCATTCAAAGAGTGCTTCTATCTAGTCACTGCTTTCCATTGCCCCTTTACAGTGTTACCATTCAACAGCATAGGTTAGTTCACAACATTCCCATGCTGAAAACTTTAATAATGGCTTCCAAACAAGGCCTTATCTGATCAAGTTTCTGCTTACATTTCTTTTTTTCTTTATTACTCCTCCGTCCATACTTCGCCTCCCACATAAGCTGTGACCATTTCCATCTCAAGGCCACCTTCTGCTCTTCCGCTTTTGAACACTCCCCCAGCTACCATGGCTACTGCCTTCTTATAGATCAGGTCTTCCTAGAAGGCCTTTCCTGACTTTGAGCAGCTTACCACCCACTTGCTCTGTGACTGTATCATGAACACAATAAAATAGAATGCTCAGATGTACTTAAAATTATTTCTTGGCTTTGTAAAGTATTTGCTTATCTCTCTCCTCCAGCATACAAGCTCTTTTTTCCTGTATCCCTGACATTTACAACAGTGCCACTATGTAATAATTCAGTAGGTGCTAGATAAATAACCTGACTGGCTGACTAGTGTCATCTAATCTATTATTTATGACCCAAGAACTTATATTTCCCATATTAGCTATAGTCCCATATTAGTATTTAAAGGTTTTCTGATTTCCGTTTGTAATTATGTATTCAGTGTCAACTTTGAATTAATGTACATTTATAGGGGGTAATGCTTTCCCCCTCATCCCCAGGGGGATATTTGGAAATATCCAAATGTGTAGTGTTTGTTGTTGTCCCAAAGACCGGGAAGAAGGGCAGGCAAGTGTGTATATGTATTTCTGTGGTGTGCTGCTCGAATTGGAGCTCAGGGCCACTGGCATTTTAGTGTCCATTGCAGTCCTAGATAATAGAAATAAATACCCTGCTGAAAATGCTAATAGTGCCTATATTACAAATACTGGAATAGTTGATCTCTATTTGCATATTAAAAGTTATGGTTTTGGGGCTCGTGGGTGGCTCAGTCGGTTAAGCTTCCCACTTTGGCTCAGGTCATGATCTCACAGTTCATGAGTTCGAGCCCCGCGTCGGGCTCTGTGCTGACAACTTAGAGCCTGGAGCCTGCTTCAGATTCTGTGTCTCCTTCTGTCTCTGCCCCTCCCCCACTTGTGCTCTGTCTCTCAAAAATAAATGTAAAAAAAAAAAAAAACTAAAACAGTTATGGTTTTGATAGGCACTGATGGGTTTTATTCACTGAAGTGGTTGATGTACACTAGTGTAGCATGTATAAAACCATTTTGATGAATGCAGTTGACAAGATAGGTCCACGACATACTTTGTAGCACTTTAGCAAATAGTGTGTTTAACATGAAGACTTTGGACCTACCTGGTAGTTTGATTGAGTTCATGATTTTATAGGACACAGATGCATCGTTCAGAGGGTAACAGGGATGCAAATGCCTTTTTCAGATGCTAACAGGGA